TCCAGTGGGCACCCTGGGGCTTCTGTGATCATTACCTTGCTAGGAGTTCAATAGCACGGGAGCCATAGCCTGCCTGGTTATGCGCACACACAGATGCATCAAGCAAATACAACCACTCCCCCTCCCCCTCCCCATTCCCCATCCCGCCCCCCACCCCAAACAAATGCCGTCGCTCAATCTTGGCAGGGAATTTCCCACAGAGATGACGAGAGAGACCCAAGTGGTTGGCAAAGCACAGCCAGCAAAACAGAAACAGACAGCCGAAATAAGAGAGACATACACTGCAAATATTGTGAACTTGCTATCAAGCGGTTGCTGATAAATACGATTAAAATATCTATTTTATTTCAGGATTTCAGATTTCTGTTATTTAAACTTATTTTATTTTGTTTCGTTCTATTCTATTCTGTGTATTACAGCTTTTGCCCTCCATCTCCCCCCTCCTCCGCACATCTTTCAGCCTTACTCGTCTGCCACAGCTGTCACCGTAGTAGCAATGTGATATATCTCGACATTGGGGTTACTCATTGCCAACGGTCACTGTGCATTGCACCCGGTCTCAGAATCACCACCACAACGGTCAATGTGCATTGCATACTCGGTTGCAGAATCACCACCACAACTCCATCTTTTCCTTGTATCCCTCCTTTTCTTTCCTCCCTCACCCATTGGTTTGCAAAGCATACCTTAATGTCACTTTCGAAATGACACACCTGCCTCACCTCCCCTTCCCAGTTTTGTGTGATTGATTCTTTCTTCATTACATTATTACACCCTCTTCGGTCCTCTGGAACAACTTTCCTTTCCCCTGGAATTTCAACTGTCAAAAAACAAAAACAAAAAAACAACACACGAAGGCCTCAAGAAACAAACGTACATTATTTAGAGAACTGTATACTCTAGAGACGCAATATGAACAACTCTCTGCTAAACTTGACCTTAAAATTGCTACAAATTTCAGATTTAATTTCGTTAAATGATTAAAACCATTACTACGAGATCATTGTGAGAGGAATGAGTACGTGCAGCTTTTGCCAGACTGCTTGGCCCACACAAGCCAAGATGTCTCGTCCTGCTGATCTCACCTAGAAAGGGACGTCTTGCTGATCTACCATGATAAAATTCTTTGACACTTGGAATGGGGGGACGGTCATCAACTGCTTCCAGTGGAGTTCGAGCACGGGTCTGTTCATTGGAGGTTTTGGTTTTTGGCAGTCATGATACTAAAGAAGCAATAACTAAATCGTTGTCGAGTCGTTGTCGACACATCACATTGAGACCTAGACACAGTGGGCTCTGAAGTTCTGAGCTGTGGTTTTGAAAAATAGCCACAGCAACGAGGCAATGACATTGATTGTATGTTCCCGACTCAGGGGGCGTCAACCCAAAGAGCGGGTGGGGGGGTCCAAGCTAATCACTTGAAAAGTTGAAATACCCACTTGAAGGTCCCATAGAGGGGGGGGGAGATACGCATCATTTTCAGGGTTTTCTCATGGATTTTTAACGAAATCCCAGATTGGGCGAAACAAAAACTTGCCACCAATCCATGGAGTGGGCCGGGCACCAAACCGACCAACTGCCAACAAAAAGAAAAGTTATTCCTAAATGCCTATTTCAGTGCTTGGGGGATTAGCCCATTGCTGAAACGGGGTTACGGGGAAAACGGGGAGGGGGAAGGTGGGGAGGGCTTCCTTTTAACTGCTTGTGATGGATCCACATAGCTCATTCAAGGATGCAAAAGAAAGAAAGAAAGAAGAGAGAAAGAAAAGACACATAGATGTGTTTCCAGATCATGTAAAGCCTTTTCTCTCTGTTCTTTCCATTCAAAAAACGAATAAATTAAAAGACAAAAGAAGTTTAGAAAACTAGAGATTTTTCACAATTCCATGGTTCCTACGATCTTCGCGTGAATTCAAACCGACGGTCATCATTGCTGAATCTGTAGAGTCGTATAGACTGACAGTTGCCGAAACCACACCTATAATGACCTGGCATTCTATTCGGGTGAAGACTGTTGTCAAAAAAAAGGAAGACTACTTAATCGATCCTCGTTCCATGGCGTCAACTTGGATTGTGAAATTACAACACGTGTCCCACAAGTCACTCACCCTGACCAAATCTGGATGAGTTGCGATCCTGACAATGCGCACTCCAGACAAGGATGGAAACTCTGAGTCCTGCAACACCCCAGATAAAGGACAAAAACGGAAAAAGAAGGCATTAGTGTCTCTATTCCCAGGCTATTGCTTGATCAAGCTAGCAGCGCAAGTTAGCAGGGCAGCGAACGAATCTGCACCTTTGCTTTATCACCTCGAAAATACACACACAGCTTTATGCAGTACTGAAATCGAGTCATAATTAATCATCATAAATAAATAATGCATGACTGACTGGAATGAGGGGATTTTTTTTTTTTCATTTATTGAAAGGGGAAAACTGTGAAGACAAAACTCAAATCACAAGCACGTTGTGCTTTCATGAACCGACATTGATTCAGCGACAAACGCAATTGTACCAGAACTGACAGAGTCTGTCGATGGAGCCCGCCCCCTCCCCGCCCCTAAATCAACAGCAATAGTAATAGCAATAGTGAAGCCCTTTTGATCAAGAGACAACAACCTCCCCCCCCCGGCTCCCCCCCGGCGACAAGATTGCAAGTGAATGGTGTCAATGGACCGATGATTGCACAATCCATTACATGAACAAACCTTTCCTCTATGGCAAACCCGGAACGAAACCTTGCTTGTATGCTATAAACCAGGATGTCCGGCCCCTACCGTCTTCCCCCGAATAGAACGAATAGAACGAATAGAACGAATAGAACGTACAGTCATTATCGCTGTATGTAGACAGAAAGTTGCCCCCAATACAGGCATAATAACCGTACGTTCTATTCGGAGCAAGACGGTATCTGCAATGCCCAGCCGGACATCCACACAGATTAGTCTTGTTTGGCGGGGAGGGAGAGGGGGGGGGGGGGGGGGACTGAAAAAAACATGTAGTACAGGAATCCGATGCAAACACCCTTTGGCTGACGGTCATCTCCAAATTCGTAATAAAATCGGAGATAAAAGTGCAAGGAACCACTCAATGCAAACACAAATTTTGCGTGCAGCACAAGACTCGAAGCCGAGCAAGCACATGTGAGCAAAGTCGAAAGCAGAAGTACAAAGTCGAGAGCACACCAAATGAGAACACACTGAGACTGAAGTCTCTCTTGATATCGAAAGCCCGACTTCTTGCCTCCCGCTCATCAATATGACAACAGTGTAGCAGCTCTGTTGTGATGTGACCACCTATGCTACTCTCCTATTCTCCCTACACACGCTCTCTTTTTCTGTCCACACTCCTCTCGCCTAACAATGTTGCAGAGTCTGACCACAACGTGTGTGCTCTTTGGTCATCGCCAGGTAAGTTCGGCAATGTCCGCCTCTTCCCACCGCTGTCCTTCTCTCCTGATAACCCAACCCCAGTGCCACCCTTCTTCCAGCCAGTGCAACTATGGCTGCTACTGACGGAGCAACTATGACGTGCCTGTTCCACGCCCATCTTCATCAGTGAGTGCCGGCCTGGCTGCATGCTCTCTGCCAAGAGCTAGCGCTGGCAGCCAGTGCCTCTGAATGTATAAGATGCCGTCGCCTCCTCCCTTTTGTTACTTCCTGGAGGCTACTGCTGCCTGACTGGAACAGGGCTATCAGTGTTTCATGGGGCGCTGGACCCAGTTTCCAGCAGGTGCAGCTCTCCACCAATAGAAAGGATATTTCTTTGATTCCACACTGAGGACCTTCAGACTGAATACCAGGGTCCCAGTCTCTGCAACCCGGAGGCTCAGCCTTCCTTCCAACCGCCTCACGCCAGTCTTCCAACCGACAACAGTGCATGAGACATAGGGGGCGGGAGTTCGGGGAGTGGAGAGAGGGAGGCGGACAGGAGGATGTAAGTGGCAGGAAGCAAAGGACGGGCAGCAGGAGAGGAGAATGGGAGGGAGGGAAGTACCTCTGAAGGTCAGCCCTGGAAAATGGAATGAACATGATTCTGCCGAAAATATCATTTTGAAGAACGTCAGACATCAAAAACCACACTACATACCTGATACTGCTGAGATATGGTCCATGGGATGAGGTCTCCCGTTGGCTGATTGCCTTCTGCGAGGCTCTTCATTGCCGATTTTTTCGATATCTCTCCCTCAAGGCAGACCTGGATTACAAAGAGGGAGTCGATTTGAGAACAGTCAAATTCAGACAGAGGCAGTGTTTAATCCTCCCCCTCCGCAGGAGGATGAATACAGTACACTGCTTACATCTTTACAGTGTTTACGCCCTACACGTGCTCAACAAACTGGTTCATCAACACCTCTGATCTCCAAATCCAGCCCTGAGGGGCAGGGAAGCCCCCAGACGTAGGGTCACGTCTGTGCATAAGCTGACAATAATTTGGCAATAACTTGATAAGTTGACGAGTAATAATAACCTTTTCATTTTCATTCTCTTGATAACATTGCAAGGAAGTTGGCAATGCGAACAGCAATGAACCAGATTGCCACATCTCAGAGAAGATCGGACATCACTGAGCCGGAACTAAAAGCAGAAATCAAAGCGAGATGCACGACAAATAGGAACGAGCAAAACACCGAAGTCTCTTGATAAAGAAAGCCTTTCCAACGCCTCCAATCCTCGATGCAAAAATAATGTAGCTCTCGTATAGCAGTCCTGGACGACAATACTGTTTTCTGTCGCTCCTATCAATCTAGCCCATGTATGCCAGCAACAAGTCCACATGTCATTAGCCCAATGCCACTTGAAGACACTGATCGAACAGCCTGCCTTCGTCAACACTAGATATGTGCCTCGTTCACATCACCTCTCCCCTGCCCTCCACCCCTTGCTCCACCAAGGACCTCCCAGGCTTCCACCACCCTGGCTATGGAGCGCTCAACGCGGCTATGGCTGGCGCTCTACCTTCTTCTTCCTGCCACCACAGTAGCTTCCCAGGGCACAGCGCTCAGCTGCCGCTCGTGCAGTGCTGCTGCATTGATACAAAGCCCGAATGTCTGAGTCTAGGGGGCCTCTAGTCTTTTGTGCTGGATGGAGAGGCCAGGAAGGCCGTGCCCAGGCCGTGCCCTGTCCCAGTTCCCCTGCACCCAGGCGGTTCCAAACTGTGCACTCACACCCAGCATCTGCAACTACCTTGTAGGCTGGGCCTACCAGTTAGTTGCAGGTGCTGCATGCGCGCTGCAACTACCCTGGGCCCCTTCTGCTCAGATTGGCCTGTTCTCAGGGCCACCTGTATTTGGCAGGCCCACGCAGGGCCTCTTTCCGGCTTACCTGAGGTCCTGAATCCTCGCACTA